TATAGAAAAACTAGTTAAAATAAAAGATAAAGAAAAATAATAAATATTTTTTGGGAATAGTAAACTTAAGTGTTAAATATAAAGAGTTTGTTGGAGTACATCAAAATTTTAACTCTTTAAATTTATAGATGTTCTCCAAATGATAGAATATGCTCTTTAAAAATAGAGAGTCTCTTGGAGATACTCTAAGCAATTTGGGTAGAACTAGTTATTAAAACTCGAGGTGCCCAACGCAGTTATAAACTCGCCGTGTTAAGGGATATTATCCCACATCGAATAAAGATGTTGACACAGACCAATTAATAAAGATCTTGGACTACTCCTCTTAACAAGGTTGACCTTTTAAGATGGACCCCCAAATCTTAACATTCTGTAACTCCTCCTTCTGTACACGTAGTAACTTAACTAGCCTAAGGTCGGTCCATTTCTTTAATTTAGTTTTTCAATTATTCATATGAGTTGTCAATGCAAATTTTCAGCAATGCAAAGGATGATGGAATTGATTGTTGATGCCAAACAAATTGTGGTACCTAAAAAAGTTGAAATGCCAAGTGGCCTAATGTACAACACAAGAGGAGATAGAGCATACCATTTGGACCATCACGAATAGGGTGACAACCTAAAGTTGAAATGCCAATGTCCCAATAGACAACGCGAGGAGACAGGCGGACCATTTAGACCATCACAAATAAGGGTGGTAAATGGGCTAAGTAGCTTGTCGGCTTGGCTCATCCTAGTTCAGTCCATGGGCGACTCGAACTCGTATTGAGATTAGTCATGAGTCGAGTCGAGCTCAATTTCCACAAGCCCATTATCCCACTCGTTTTTGGCTTATTCATTAATTTTTTTTTAAAAAAAGCGAGCCAACTCATGGACTGCTTGCCTTGAGCCATGAGGCCCACGAGTCAAATGATTGAGCCTATCTCGGGTGTCTAAGGGCCAAACTCATTGCAAAACAGTCACAAGATGTGGATGGAAAAAAATCCTATCTAGAAATGAATATAAAGTTGAAGAAGCTCACAAATACTTAACTTTTACCAGTAAAAATGTTGACAGTTGAAGATTGGGTAGACGTAACGTAGGTGTACGTAAACAACTCGGCACCGACTGCAATTAATTGAACAAGAAAGAAAATACGTATATAATACATAATCCTTCCTCCAAAAATAGTCATATTCGTATCTATCTGCTTTCATTTTCGTCCATACCGATCACTGCCCGCCTTTTCAAGTCATTCATGCATCTCATCTATCATCTCCTTTCTTCAATTGTATTTATTGTGGCTGCCTTCTCTTTTCATTAGGTTGAGTTAAGTTGAACACGTTCTCTCTTCATTTATATATAATATTTGTTTCTGAAGAGAGAAAAAGAAAGCCAGATTTTAGCGAAGAAGAAGATGTTTAGGTTTATAACAGGAATTCCAGGTCCAAGTGGTTTTGGATCAGCTTCAACTGCTGAACAAGTCACACAAGTGATTGATACAACTGCTCTTACTGTCATCATTACAGGTCGGATATTCATTAATACTTGCTGCATGCTGAAGAACATTTTTGAAGGCATTTGGGTTTAATTCAGAAATGTTTTAGTTTGAGCCTGCAATTTGTGAATTGATGCAATGATATATTTTGATTGCAGGTGGTGCAAGTGGAATAGGGTTGGAGACATCAAGAGTTTTGGCTCGAAGGAATGCACATGTGATTATTGGTGCAAGAAACATGGAGGCTGCAAATGAAGCTAAACAACTCATTCTGAAGGATAATAATAATGCTCGAATCGACATTTTTAAACTCAATCTTGCCTCTCTTAAATCTGTCAAGGCTTTTGCTGATCACTT